GTAACATCTGCTTGGAAGAGATTCGGACAGTACAGCACGTTTCTGAGAGATCAAAGAATGCCCATGTGTCTCAAAAGGAAGATCATGAACACTGTCATACTGCCATCAATGACGTATGGAGCTGAGACATGGTCACTTACCAACCGCCAAAGAGAGAAACTGGCAGTCACCCAGAGGAGCATGGAACGATCAATGCTGGGTGTTAAGAGGAGAGATAAGATCAGGAACGAAGACTTAAGATCAAGAACAGGGGTGAAGGATGTCATCGAGAAAGTGATTGAAGCCAAAGGCAAGTGGGCAGGACATGTAGCACGAATGAAGAACCACGAATGGGCTAAGAAAACGACAGAATGGACTACGTGGGACAGGAAGAGGGGAAAGGGAAGACCAAAGAGAAGATGAAGAGATGAGATCGTGCAGAAGGCAGGCAGCACGTGGACCCAGAGTGCCCAAAACCGTGATGAGTGGAGAAAGATGTGGAGGCCATCCGCCAGCAGTGGTGTGACAGGCTAATGATGATGATGATGATGGGCCCAGTTTACGTGGCTGTTTGCATTAGTGCATTTACGTGGCATTTAGTGCTATATGAGGAGGTTTTTTTTTTGGTGTGACTAAGCCTGACTCTTAGCGCTAAAATTACAGTGTGTCCTGTGAACTCGTGTGCATGTGATTTTGATTGTCGCTGGTTGCAGTCTGGGAACCGACATGGATAAGTTCAATATTCAAAAGCTGAGTGGCAAAGCCAACTGGACAGTGTGGAGATTGGAAATCATTTCCAACTTGCAGTATCATGGCTTTGAGGAGATACTCACTGGTAGCTTGAAAATGCCGTAAGATTTGCCAGCAGATGCGAGTTCAGAAGATAAGAAGAGTCACGCGGGAAAACTGAGGCTGTACAAAAGAACGAATGGCTTTGCTATTACTCTTATTACTTCAAATGTGGATGATGAGGTATTACAGTTAATTCTTATGTTGGGAACTGCCAGGGAAATGTGGGTCAAACTAGAAACTGCATATGAACAAAAGTCTGAACAAAGACTGGAACACTTGTATTTACAACTTCTAGAATACAAGATGGAGGCAGGCGATTCTGTTGCAACGCATGTTTCAAAGTTACAGAAACTCTGGATGGAGCTGAATGAAGAATCATGGAGAGTGGATAAATGTAGACTCCCAGGTACTTTGTTAATAATGCAAATACTGAGTACTTTGCCAAATGAATATTTTGAGTTTCGCACGACTTGGGAATCTATTCCTAGAAATGAAAGGACAGTTCAATATCTGCTTGAACGACTGCCAATGGTTGAAACCCGCTTGTCAAGAATAAATGAAACTACAACTTTTCGTAGTAATGTGTCTGCTCTTGTTGGTAAGAAACCACAAAAAGTGAAATACAACAATGGTAGTTCTTTGAAGCACAAAAAGGACATAAGTAAAGTAAAATGTTATGGGTGTAAAGAGTTTGGACATTTTAAGAATAAGTTCCCCAATGTTAAATCTGCACCTGTAAGATTTAATGCCAGTAGTTCTGCATTGTTTGGTGAGGTGTTGTTGACATCAGTGCCTGCTGATGGGATATGGATAGCAGACTCAGGGGCCACACAGCACATGATAAAATCAAAGGATTATTTTGTGGATTATACAAGCTTTAATACACCGAAACCTGTGACCTTGGGAAACAAAGGTGTCATGATGGGGTATGGTGAAGGTGACATTGAAGTGGAATCCTTTGTAAATGGCGAGTGTCTCAGTCATACACTAAAAAAGGTGTGGTATACCACAGATGTAGTCAAAAATCTGTTCTCAGTTCCAGCTGCAGCTGACAAAGGCATCGAATATCATCTTGATAGATTTCAGTGTTCACTAATAAAAGAAAACACCACTCTGGTTGTTGGTGAAAGACATGACGGGCTGTATAAACTACACTTGCGTGCAGTTTTGCCAAGTAACCCAGTGAAGGTGTTAGTTGCAGAAAAAGCAAAAAAATTTCAGGTATGGCATGAACGCTTTGGTCATCAAAACGAACAATATGTTGAAAAGTATCTAAGGAAACATAAAATCAACTACATCAAAGATGATGAATTTTGTGAAGGTTGTGTTCTGGGCAAGCATCACAGAAAAAGCTTTGGTACCAGACCAATTGTGGCAGAGAAGCCAGGGGATTTAATTCATGCTGATGTGTGTGGACCATGATAGTTTCAGTGGATACAGATACTATGTTTTGTTCAAAGATGACTTTTCAAAATACAGAAGTGTTTATTTTTTGAAAAGGAAAGTGAAGTAGTGGATAAATTCAAAATATTCCTAGCAGAAGCAAAGGTTTTGGGACATACTGTTAAAGAGTTATGAACAGATGGTGGTGGAGAATTTGATAACAAGGAATTTAAAAAGGTGACTGAAGAAAACGGAATTCAGCATCGTTTCAGTATGCCGTATACACCTGAACAAAATGGATCAGTAGAAAGGGAAAATCGAACACTAGTTGAAGCAGCACGTTCATTGCTTCACAGTAAGGAAGATTTACCAAGAAAATTATGGGCTGAAACTGTGAATACAGCAACTTATATTATTAATCGCACAGGACCTGCCAAGTCAAGTGAAGAAACGCCTTATGAACTGTGGTCTGGAAAAAACATTTCCATTGATCACTTGAAGATATTTTGGACTGAATGTTATGCATATATTCCAAAACAAAGGAGACAACAATTTGACCCCAAAGCTCAAAAAGGCTTTCTAGTTGGTTACTGTGGTGACAAAGATGGTTACAGGATATACATACCTGAAAGAGATACTGTTGTTACAACCTGCTATGTGATTTTTAAAGACTTTGCTCTTACTCATTTTGATGTGAAGACAGAATTTTGATGTGAAACTACAAACTCCAGAGAAACAGGAGGAGTTTCTAACCTGAATGAAGTTGTTGAGCCAGTTAGTGTGTTGTGTAGTGGTGGTTTAAACCGTGCTCAAATTAAACCACCAAGTAGATATAAAGACTTTGCTATGATAGCATACAATGAACCAAGTACTTTTAATGATGCTATACATTGTGAAAATGCTAATGAGTGGAGAAATGCTATGGATAGTGAAATGCAGTCACTTGCAGAAGATGAAACTTGGGAATTAGTTGACAAACCTGATGATAGAGATATTGTGTTATGTAAATGGGTATATCGTGTTAAAACAAATGCTACTGGGTAAGTAGACAAATTCAAAGCCAGATTAGTGGCAAAAGGATATAGTCAGAAAGAAGGAGTTGACTATAATGAGACCTTTAGTCCAGTAACAAGGTTTGATACTATTCGTGCCGTGATAAGTGTAGCTGCAAAAGAAAATATGACTCTTACTCATTTTGATGTCAAGACAGCATTTTTGTATGGAGAGTTAGAGGAAGCTACATACATGAATCAACCTAAAGGCTATGATGATGGTTCAGGTCATGTGTGCAAGCTAAAGAAGAGTCTCTATGGTCTCAAACAAGCCCCGCGAGTATGGAATAAAACATTCACAGATTTCCTATTGAGACAAGGCTTTATACAAAGTGAAGCAGATCCTTGTTTGTTTACTTACAACAAAAATGGAGAAAAAATTATGATAGCATTGTATGTAGAAGATGGACTGCTGGCTGCAAAACAGGGTAATAATAAGTTAAATAACTTCCTACAGCATCTACAGGAGGAGTTTCAAATCACATATTCACCAGCCAAATATTTTATAAGTTTAGAAATTGAACATTTGGATGATGGATCATTTGCTATCAGTCAAGAAAACTCACCATCATTATCAGCTCCGTAGCTGAGGCGGCCGTGGGTGCACCCAGTTCGTGGTAGCCTTTCTCCAGCCTTCCCGATCAACCGTCATACTACTCAAGGTTTTGCCTCTTTCTCCCGTCCACTCAGTAATATTCCCCATCCAGTTTCTCCGTGGTCTCCCTCTGCCCCTGCTTCCCTCCATTTCGCCTTCCAACACAGCTCTACCAGTTCCTCCTCCACGAACCAGATGTCCGAAGTACTGGAGCTTCCTCCTCTTCACCACATCCATCAGATCTTCCGGTTCATATCCACAGATCTTTTTGATCTTATCCATTATCCACTCATTTGTCTTCCTGTCCTTCCAAGTTACTCCCAATAGCCGCCTGTATGACTTCATCTGCATCGCTCTTATTCTTTGCTCATCTGCTCTACTTATCGTCCAGCTCTCACAAGCATACAGCAGATTTGCCAACACTATGGACCTCAGCAGCATCAACTTGTTCTTCATTGTTACATCTTTTGAATTCCAAATGTTTTCAAGTTTTGCCAATGCACTCGTTGCTCTACCAATTCGAATCCGGATTTCTTTTTCCGATGTTCCATCCTGTACAATCGTTGACCCCAAGTAGGTGAAGCTCTTCACTTGTTCCAAAACTACTCCATCTACGGTCACTTTGACCACTACACCATCAACATTGTCTCCTTTTCCCACTACCATCACCTTGCTCTTCTCTGTAGTTATCTCCATTCCATAACTCTTCGCAGCCACTTCTAGCCTTCTTATAACCTCGCTTATACCCTCTGCAGTTTCGTCTAACACGTAAATGTTGTCTGCAAACCTTAGATCCATCAGCTTTCTCCCTGCACACCTCACACCTCCTTCATAACCTTCTAATGCGTCACCCATTATCCTCTCTAAGAATAGGTTAAACAAGGTCAGAGATAGTAGACAACCCTGTCTAACACCAATGTTAGTCTTGAACCATTCACTATACTGATCTCCACTTAACACCTTTGATCTAGCGCTATCATACAAACTCTTTATTAGCAATGTCATTCCTTCTCCAATGTTGTACTTTCTCATGGTGTGCCAAAGTGGGTCATGCCACACACGATCAAATGCTTTGCGGAAGTCAATGAAGTTGTGGAATATCAACTTCCCCATGTCTCTTGCTTTCTCGTTCAGTAGCCGCAGAGTTGTGATTTGCTGCACAGTACTTCTTCCTTTTCTAAATCCAGCTTGAGAATCACTCAGTATTTCTTCCTCTTCAACCTCTTCAAGATTATCCTTAACAGGACTTTTGAGGCGTGGCTAATTAGGCTAATCGTATGATAATCTGTACATCTCCTGCTGTTCGTCTTCTTTGGAATGGTGATGAGTACAGATTCTGTCCATTGGCTCGGCCATTGCTTGGTTTTCAAAATCTCATTGCACAGTTTGTGCATTAAGAGGAATGTTGTCTCTCCTCCATTCTGGATTAGCTCCGCAGTGATGTTATCTGCTCCTGGCGACTTGTTCTTCTTCAGCTCCTGGATCGCACTACGTACTTCTGACATCAGCATGGTCACTTCTTCTTGTCGTTCTTCCGTGACTTGTTCTTTCAGCACTTCCTGGTCTTTCTGGATGTTGCAGTTGAAAAGTTCTTCACAGTAGTTTTTCCATCTCCTACAGATGTCATCACTCTTCGTTAGTAATGTTCCATCTTTATCCTCAATTATGCCAGCTTGTTTCCGTTTGGTTTCATCCATATATGAGCCACACAACTTCTTTACAGTTTCGTATGCCTTCTTGGTGTTGTTCCTTCTTAGATTTTCTTCGATATCTTGTGCTTGACTGATGATCCACTTGTTTTTTGCTATGTTGATTTCATTCCTCACTTTTCTATTTGCAACTCTATACTCTAATAGATCATTTGCTCCTAGATGTCTTCTCCTTCTCTTATCTCGCCTCACATCACATGCCTCCAGCACCTCTGGTGTTATCCACGGCTTCTTGATTGGTCTCGCTTTTCCTAATTTTTCCTCCACAGTTTTTTCCAGTGTGTCAGTGAACACATCACACAGGTCTTGTGGGTCTTGGTCGAGCAGTAACAGTGGTGCAAACTTTCCTGCTAGTTCTTCTTGATAAGATTCTGCAACTTCCGGGTCTTTCAGCTTCTCAATATCGAATCTTCTTTTGCTCAACTTGTTCTTCTTGATTGTACTCAACTTCACTTTTAGTGTCATCATCACTAGATCGTGATCACTGCCGATGTCTGGCTTATTGAACGTTCTTGTCTTTGCTCTGTTGACTCCCGTCATGAATCTCCTCTCTGAATCTCCTCTGTCTTTGCTCTGTTGACTCAAGTCTATCTGGTTGTGTGTCCTACCATCTGGTGAGTGCCATGTTGATTTTCTCGAAGCTTTGTGGTTGAACAGCGTGTTGGCAGATGTCAGACGATGTCTCTTGGCAAATTCCAGCAGCTTCAGTCCTCTATCATTTGTTTCTCCAAGTCCAAATCTTCCAATAGTTCCCTTCCAATTTGCGAATGCATCAACTCCAATCTTCGCATTCCAGTCACCTTGCACTATTAACACATCTTTTCTGGGAATGGTTTTTAGCAGTTTCTTCAGGTCATCATAGAATTCTTCTACAAGTTCATCGCGGCAATCATTGGTTGGTGCATACACTTGCACAATTGTCATGTTTATTGGTTTCCCCGCCACCTTGATTGCTGCTATTCGGTCGCTGATCGGTGTGAATTCTAGCACTGCGTTTTTGGTGTTCTTGTTCACTAGGAATCCCACACCTCTTTCATGCTTCTTCTCATCACCTATGTACCAAATCTTGTGTGCTTCTTCTGCTGTTCCTTCACCAATGCCCTTCCATCTCATTTCAGATATGCCCAGGATGTTCCAATTCAGTCTGTCCATTTCTTGTACTAAAACCTCCGCTTTTCCACATGCCTTCAACTTTCTGACATTCCATGTACCAATTGTTGTCTCTACCTTCGCCACTTCTCTGTTTCCTCCGGCTCTCCCGGCTCTCCTTCCCTCCACACCCTCCACTCCAGTCGCATACTTTACACTGCCTCCCCTGGAGGCTCCAGGAGACAGCGCGGCCGTTGTTGACCCGGGCCCCGACTGATCCGGTATGAGGTTTAAGTTAGTTGTCATTCCATGGGTGTTTCAATAAGCAAGAAGTACTCGGTGGTGCCCATCTCCTCTCCGAGTACGCAGTGACACTGCGTGCCGGTGTGCTCGGCCAAGGTCCGGAAGGATCTCTTGCCCGACCACGTGCTCCAAAAGTTGTTGGTCCCTGAAGACTCTTCCATCAACTGGAACTACTGGTACCCTGCTGCCAGTACCAGTCTATTTAACCCATAGATGGGGCGTATTTGACCCATACATGGGACCCTGTCAGGTACTACCACCCTGGGTCAAAGTGGACCTGGGAGCAGTAGCAGTTAAGGGGTCGCTCCATACTCCCCAGAACTCTGGATCTCCCGAACCAGAACCCTGCTACCGGATGCAGTTTAGAGTCATACCCAGGACAAACAAAATACTTGAAAAGTTCAAAATGGAAGATTGTAATTGTGTTAGTACTCCAGTTGAATCTGGCTGTGAGCAGTCCGAAGATGAGAGTGATTATCTCACAAATGAGCCCTATCGTGAAGCTGTTGGTAGCTTGAATTATCTTACTGTGTGTAACAGACCAGATATTGCATATGCAGTAAGTTTAGTGTCACAAGTACTGGACAAGCCAACCAAAAGACACTGGACAATGGTGAAGAGGATCTTCAGATATCTGAAAGGGACTAAAGATATGAAGTTAATATACAGCAGTAAAGTGTCCCAAAATCTCACTGGATATAGTGATGCAGACTTTGCTGGTGATAAAGGTTCCAGAAAGTCACACACTGGTGTAGTGTGTTTACACAATGGAACAGCCATTTCTTGGATTAGTCAGAGACAAAAATCTGTTTCACTCTCAACAACTGAAGCAGAATTTGTAGCTGCAAGTGAAGGAACAAAGGAATTAATCTGGTTAAATCCCCTTTTTAGAGAAATTGCAGATGAAAAAGATATTCCTGTATTATGTGTGGATAACATGAGTGCCATACAGTTGGTGAAAAATCCAGTTTTTCACAAAAGGTCAAAGCATATTGATATTAATTACTACTTTGAGAGAGACATGTTTGAAAGTGAGAAACTGAGGGTAGAACATGTAGCAACAAATGAGCAACTGGCTGACTCTTTAACAAAACCCCAGGTTAAACAGAAGTTGAAAACTTTCTGTGAAAATGTTGGATTGCTTCAACAAAAATGAACTTGATAAACTTGTGTAGCTGTGTTATCATTGAAAAGAACAGTTTCAATACATTGTGTTTATGATTGAGTTTAGGGAAACTCATGGTAAAGATGAGTTGCAGGGAGTGATTGTTCTAGAACCTCTTCTCCCAAAATAGTATTTATACTTTTTTCTTGTTGCTTTGTTTAAACATTTTGTTGATGTTTAAAAAGACCTTTTTTGTTAATATAGTATAAGGACATTGAGAGACCTTACTACATGAACTGCATTTTAAGTGAGGAGGAGTATTAGAAATAGCACTTAAAAATGTATTGTAAGTAATTATGTAACCCCCGTCTAGCCTCGTTCTAGTGTAGTTAGCAAAAAACGTGGCGGTCAAGTTCTTGCTCGCAAACAACTTTAACTTTAAATTTTAATAAAAGCTAAGCTACATGTTCTTCAACAAGACTGCTCTCTGTTTTCATGTCTTTATATAGTATGCCAACAGAAGGCCAAAAAGCAGACCTCGTTAATTGTTTAACAAGCCTATCAACACAAGTTCTGACTACGACCAAACCATCTGTTGATGCAGTCATTATTGATGGTGCTGTCATTGTCCAGATGCTACAGCCTAAAACTGTGCACACATTCGATGAATATTTCACAGCCATATTCGCCCATTACATTCTGAGAATACTGCAAAATTCCTCGCGAATTGATCTAGTATAGGATTTTTACAAAGTGGACTCGTTGAAGAAATCACTGCGAGACTAGAGAGGTTCTGGGCAACGTCGGAAAGTGATGGCCTCAACAAGAATCCCGACAGATTGGAAAGGCTTTCTTAGAGTAGATAAAAACAAATTTTCCAAATTACTTTCCGACCTTTGATGGCATTGCTTGAGTTATCTAAATAAAACTTATTACTCTTATGGAGGAAAAAAATCTTTAGGGAGACAACAGTAGTGCCCGCACATAGTGAAACCATACAGAAGCCTTGTTCTATTCAACGGATACACAACCACTTTACGTCACAGAGGTCATGTGACCACAGGTTCGACCCGTTTTTGTTGTGACACATTTTAGCTTGAGTGGGTGTTGGAAAATCCCGTTTTTTGGGGAAAGTAAGTCGCAAATGAAAAAACTAAGTTCGCCATCGTTACCAGCGATGTTTCTTTGATCGCCATCATTACCAGCAAAATTTTTCGTAACATATGCACTTTGAGGATGTTGAGGTTGTATTAAATTCATAACTTAAAGGTCAATCAAATAATAGTATTGGTAATTCTTTTGAGTATTGTTTAAGTTTTGTATTATCCAGGTACAGCATCAGGGGATAAATGTAGTCCTGATTATGTTCCTACACTGAATCTTGGGTATGGAATAGATGCAGCATCATATTCAGCATCAAACCAAATGAGATATCCCCGGTGAAAAATCTTGGAGGATCCTACAGGATCCTGAAGGATCCTAGATTTTCAGGATCCTGCAAGATCCTGTGTGCGTAGGATCCTATACAGGATCCTGGGTAAGGATAAATCCAAATCTGGGTATAGGATCTAACACATCTAACTAGATTAGGATCCTGTCAGGATCTTGAACATAACAATAGGATCCTGTAGATTCTTAAATAGGATCCTGTAACATTCTGACCAGGATCCTACCAGCATCTTGAATCTTAAGTGTATAGGATCCTATACAAGATCCTGTGTAAGGATCCTATAGGATAAACACAGCTTAAGATCTGACACAGGATCTTACCAGAAAGCTTACAGGATTTCACAGCAGGATCTTGAATAAGATCTTGCTATGATCCAGAGTGACATTATAGGATCTTACACATAGCCATTTCACAATTCTAGTGGAGTGTGACAGGGGCCCTTTAAGGATTTTAAATAAATATGTTAGAATGCTTTGCAGAAGAAAATAGACATCTTATTCCATAATCTTCGAGTTACTGAAAGTAAAGAAAATATTTTCATCTTGCTGATATGTCTTCAAAACTGTAGAAACATATCCTTTAACTTCAGGGTCTGCATCTTCCAATGGAAAGAACACAACACGTGACAAAATGTTGTCACATAAAATTATTTTGAAAGCTTCACAGTCTCCTATTGCGATAAAATGACTTCCTAGCAAACCCTCGGTATGAAATTGAAGCATGACTAGATCTTCTAGGTTTCGAAGCTCATCTGTTTTACCATATTTTTTGCAAATTCTTGGCAACTTTGTTGATTGCAAAGAGTCCTCTTGAGTATTTTAAGAAGCACTGAATTTCCGATACTTAGTTGTTCTCTCTTCGTGTGTATTAAAAAAGATACAAAAAAATTACAAGATGATCTGTGGTGGTATGAATAGCTTTCACTGTGAAATATCTCCCTTTCTTTAATAATCCTTGAAGAGAATACTATGTCTTCATTATCACCACTTAAATTGAGTATCCAAGTCAAGATTTTGAATCAGAGGAACTGTTTTTTGTATGGGCTTATAAAAATAGATCGTTTCGGACATCATTACTTTTTTCTAATTTAACTGCAAAACATTTTTGCAGAGATTCTTTGCTTGCGGTGAGTCCGTAACATTCAGCAAAATCTCAGATTGATACATCTTAGACGTAGCTATATTACAAATCATTTGAGAAATTATGCCTCTGGTACCATGGAACTTCTTTTTTAACAAAGAGATCATGCCTTTCGAATACGAAGGCAGATTGTAGGATTGGGTTTCCATGATTTCTTGTTTGCTGAGCAAAGAAACTGTAAAGTCGAGTGTAAAGTATATGTTCTTTCTGTCTTTCCATACAATTCTTCAACAAGTCGAGCATAGAAGTCAAGCATTAACTCTGCTAATGTTATATCTTCTTCGACAAGGGAATATTTGGTTAGGATGGGCAGACCAGTTGCAAATAAGCTATGGTGAAAAAAGTATTCGGCTGGCAGATACCTTCTTTTAAGCAAAAAGAAGCTTCATCACTTGATAAGAAAAAAAACGCTTTTTCTTGTGGATTGTTTGATATTTTTCTATACTTTCAACATTGTTTTGGGGGGAAAGGGGGGCGGAAGTGGTAGTATTCAAGAAAACAAATGAAAAACAGAAAAGCACAGCCCAAAGTGTTGGGTGTTCCAAGTAATTTTGGCAGTGATTGTACTGGTAAAGATCCTCTTATACCAAAAATAGAGCTCTTGCTATTTGCGAGATCAGCATGCTGCATGGAATCTTCGTGATTCCATAGAGGCGCCTACGTAGATTTAGCACTTCTGTAACATAATGTGTCTGGAACATTGTAAAATTAAGTTTTTCCTTGCCAAACCAAAGGCCACAGAAAAGAATGTTACAAAATGAATATCCCAAATGCTTTGGTAATTCAATTATCATTGCAAAAATGGGCCAGATTTTCAGATTTCTAGATTTGACTACGGTTGATCCATCAATGTCAGGGCATTTTTTAAGGAATTTCAACTACTGGGGAAAATTTGCAAAAAGGGCCCAAAAGTGTTTTTAGCCACAGCACAAACATATAATAGTAAACTAAAGACAGCCATTGTCACTTTGAAAAAACTTTCTGACAAAATCTCTTTGTTTGTAAAGCTCACTGCAAGGCTGTGCATTTCGCCTGTCTTTCTTCTTTAAAAACGTGAACACACCCGGTCTTGGATCATAATAGGCAGTGCCTATCCCATTTAGAGATATGTTCATTACACCATTGATCGTCTCTTGATGCAAGGATGATCGTTTCACACTTTTGATGTTGTTGTAATGCGAGACTACTCTTTCAGTCGCCATGCTGTTAGGGGTCAGTGTTAAGGGCGTACACAGTTCCCGTGTCTTCAACATCAACGCTCTTCATCTCAGAAATCTTACCCCATGAAGAACAAACATCAGAAACAAATTGTTCAATCACTTGGCTACCAAAAATTTGTGACACCAGTTCTCTGCTGGATGTTATGAACACTTTTGGTGATTTAGCTTTCAGCACTGTCTTCAGACTGTTTATTGTTCCGTCATTTTCTATGTTCATTCGCTCGTGCAGGAAGTTGATGGCAGATTGTAAGATAACTTCATTTCTAACAGCCTTGTTGTCTCTTCTCATCGCAGTGACAAAATGATTTCCCGTTTTTCTCCTACATTGCTCTGCTTCGTTATTTGCGCTGTCTTCTTGCAATTTCCTTAAATGATCTTCTTCTTTACCACCTGGAATAGGCATTTGATCCATAATCTTGAGGTTTTCGACACTGGAGTTCCTTGCTGTTATGACGTCTGGTAGTATGAGGTATGATTTTTGAAATATCTTTTGAAGCCTTTCAAATATCTTGCACAAATCGTACATAAGTGTTGTCAGCCATAGTTGCTGCGAAGAAGCATTCCATTTTTGCATAAAACCACGTGCCATGGCACATTCTTTTTTATCTGATGCGATTTCACCACTTACCATTTTCTCCAACACTTTCGTAGCTGCCTTAAGATTATGCAAAACAGCCCTGATCAGATTAAGTGTGTGCTGCGCAAATCTCAACCTCAAAATGTTTTGGAACGTCAAGCAACGTTCATCTTCTTGATGAAGTAATTTCGTTCTTCGTGGAGATGTTCTAAAAAAGTTGACCAAAGCTAGCAAATTGCTCAACCAGATCGGCAGCTCAGGCACTTCTGCTTGCAAAGATTCGAGAGCCAAATCTGATCTATGACCTACACACCAAGCAGTCAGAATGTCCCTGCCAACATGATCTTTCAGCAATTTCCAGAGACCTCCTTTCTTTCCTGTATTGGCACTTTCACCATCAGTCGTAACGCCAACCAGTTTTTCTGTGTCTACGTTCACCGATTCCAAACAACTGACCAGTGAGTCTAACAGTCCAGCAGCACCACCCCTGTCACTGCTTGCAACTCCAAGAAATACAGTTTTAACGCAGATTTCATTGATTGGCACATACCTTGCTGTTATGAACTTGGAGTCAATTTGCTGTCTATCAGAACTTCCATCAATTTGTAAGGAATAACAAATGCAGTTTTTCAATTCAGCTGCAACTTTTTTCATTTCAAATTTAACAACAATATTTCTCATTTCAGCATAGGTGACGGGATCTCGGTAATGATAAAAGCTGGACTTCTCGAAACCAACAAAATCAGCATCCCACCCTTCTGATTGGAAAACTCGCATTAAATTATTGCTATGCTCGAAAGAAAAGGATCTTGATGGCCAACTTCTTGCACTTAGTGTCTCGGCTCTGCAGTCATTGTAGACATCCACAACCAATCTAAGAAGAAATTCCAAAGTTTCTTTCTTGTGTTTTTCAATCATCCTCAGCCATGGATGATCTGTTGACATACTCCTCCATGTATCTTCGTGCTCCTTCAACCTTTTGGATTCATTGTGCGAAGGCGACTCTAAATGATCTATAACCCATTTCAGTTTTTATTTCCCGTCGATTCGTACTCTAGATGCCATAGGCAGGCGTCCATTGACAGAGAATTTTACAACCTGTTCCTCGTATTTCTTACATAACTCACATGTCATTACCTGGCGTCGCTTCTTGTTTTTCATTTCTGTATGAAATTTAAGACAGCACTCTGACAAAATTAACCAGCTTGAGTCAAGTTTCTTCCCTTTGTACCACATCGAATTCGCCTCACCTTTCCTTTTAGGCTGCTTGATTTCGTTTTGTTTGTCATTTTGCTCATTCTTTTCTTTCGAACTGGAAGCAAATTTTTCTTCCCCAACGTGCACAACTTCAGGGGCTTCAATTGATTCCTTGGATATCGACGATGAGGGTTTCACAGTTTGTTGGGAAAACATTCCAACCAATGATTTCTGTCCTGGGGCCAATGCTGCTGCAACTAACGCTTTCTTCTTGTTTTCGTTTCTTTTATCGTTTCCACATTTCTGTTTTCGTTTCATTTTGTTCTTCGTTGCACTTGCGAAAATCAATTGCGAATGAATATTTCTAAACTTTTCCTTGACCTTGATATACATATATCAGGGCCGCCGGACGCATGTTTTAACAGGGGGGGGGGGGCAAAACGAATAAAAAGGGCACAAATTTTTTTGTCCGAAACATTAGTAAGTGCCAAAAATGGTATAGATTTCACGGTAATTAAGACATTTATAAAAATAATGACACATGTTGGACATTGAAATTTATCTTCGTTGAAAGCAGACATGGCTATGTAATTCCATTTAGAGACCACGCAGTCTTGATCAAAATTAATTGTATAGTTTCCCATCTCATGGCCTTCAAAGTATTTTGAGAGTGTAAATCTCTCTTCCATGTATGATTTATACCTCTATTACAATACGCTGTACTTATTTTCCTTATAATTTGCATTGTAAGTGGATTTGGTCCCGGGTAAGAGGCAGGCATACATCCTTCTTTCATACTTGTGGCAGGCGCATTATACTCAACAAATGTCCAGATTTATTGCGACATACCAACGAATCCAACCCAAAATATGAACTGAATGGAATTTAGGCTCTATATACTTCAAAGCTAGTTCCAGTCCCTATCTTTTTCAAAACAAAGTTGCAGCCCAATTCGAATAACGATATTAATTTTCTTACTTCTATATTTAAACAATTTAGTCCCCCTTGGTATTCGCACCCTCCTATCCCCACTTAAACACAAATTTGTTCCCCTCCATGGAATATTTTTTAAAAGCTAAAAAAATTTATGATTAAGACATCTTCACGCAATCGGCTGAAGGTGCGGACATATTCTTCACT